ATTAGAATTGAAAAAAGTCCAGAAAAGGGCAACGAAAATGATAGGAGTATGGAACAGCTTCTGTATGAGGAGAGATTAAAAGGAGTGGGACTGTTCAGTTTAGAAAAGAGATGATTAAGCGGGGAGGGATATGATAGAGGTCTATAAGATCATGAATGCTGCAGAGAAAGTGAATAAGGAAGTGTTATTTACCCCTTCACATGACACAAGAACCAGGGGTCACCCAATGAAATCAATTGGCAGTAGGCTTAAAACAAACATAAAGAAGTGCTACTTCGCACAACACACAGTTAACCTGGGGAACTCATTGCCAGGGGATGTTGTGAAGGCCAAAAGTATGACTGGGTTCAAAAAAGAATTAGATAAGTTCATGGAGGATAGGTCCATCAATGGCTCTTAGCCAAGATGGTCAGCGATGCAACCCCATGCTCTGGGTGTCCCTAAACCTCTGACTGCCAGAAACTGGGACTGGATGACTGGGGATGAACCACTCAATAAAATCCTCCCTTTTAGTCCCAGAAGGTCAGCCCCTTTTGATGAAAAATTTTACTTCAGGCCTTTGGCACAGCCCCTTGGTTTCCCATCTGGTTTGATACAGATGTTTATTTTACCTTTAGGTCTCTTTACTACAAAGCACCTTGGATACTTTTGTAGCTAGAGGGGGCTGCAAAAATTAAAATGTGTTACAACAGAGCCCTGCTTATTTGTTGGGGGAATGACACAAACCTTTGGAAAATCAGGAGCTTGGTGAATTGGAGAAGCGTAATACAGCTGCGTCTGCCTGAGTTCGCTCAGCTTTTCAGCCTGCTGGGTAGTCAGACGGCCTTTCCACTGTGCTCAGGGTGTTGTGCAAACTATCGAAAACCCACTGAAATGCAGCCACCTCTGGGGTGGGACGCAGCTGCTGTATAACAGCACACAGCAATGCTACACAACAGCTCAGGACAGGAAGTGAAGGAGAATACAGTATTCACTTGATGCGGTATGTAGGGAGACAGAATAGAATGGCCTGTGGCTAGGAGGCTGCATTTAACAGTACAAATCTTGCAAAAAGTGTCATGGGCTCTAATCACAAAGCTCGCAGGCCTTCGGTTTTGCCTTTCAGCTGAAAGACCTTTCCACTCCCAGTGACTTACGGCATGAAGTTTAAGGTGTATGGGAGTTGGAGGCTGGCCAGCCATACTTTCGAAATGCCCCAAGCCTTTTTTCTTTCTTCCTTCTCCCAGATTCTCTGCTATGGGCGAGGGATGCTATCGAAGGTTCTCTAGTGAGCTGTATAACTGAGCTTTAATCGACACGGACTGCTCTGCATGGGCATCTCCGCGGCACAGGCTATGCGCCCGAAGTCCTGGCCCAGCACGTGCCACCTCAGCATCAAACCCAGGATGGAAGGGGGAGGTAGGGTGACCAGATGTCCCGATTTTATAGGGACAGTCCCGATATTTGGGGCTTTTCCTTACATGGGTGCCTATTACCCCCCACCCTCTGTCCCGATTTTTCACACTTGATATCTGGCCACCCTAGGGGGAGGCAGTCTCTTTGTTGGCTTTTCCACCGTCCTGCTTGGAGGCCAGGAGAGGATGCCCCCAGCAGCCTGGAGTTAGCTGCTCTCTGCTGCCGTTAGGCTCCAGGTTCTGCTGATAATTGTCAGTTATTCCCCAAGCTGCCTCCTGCAGAACGTGAAGCTGAAACTTGCAACCTTTGCACCAAGTGCCATGGATAACCCGGCAATAAAATCACACACCTGAGGACATTGCCCAATGCAGGCTCCTGCCCCGATGCTATTGGAGCTGACAGCACCTGGGGAACAGGATTAAAAAAATCACAACTTCCTCGGGAGGTGGTGGGGGGTGTGTGTATGAACCTGTATGCACCCACTAAGCAGCATTAGAGTTCTGTCTCTCTTCGGCAGTGGGGGAGCTCTGTGTATCGCCTGGACTGTTGCCCAAGAGAGCAGCTCCACATTCCCTCTTGGGAGCGATCTAACGGGCCCTGAATTTTGATAGACCCTGTTTAGTCTTACGCCTTCCCTGTCGATTTTGACTGGAACCTGCTTCTGAGCAGAGGCAGACTGGAGCATACCTCTGAGATGGGGTCAGTGGGCTTTGGGGGGGAGGCGATCTGCTAAACTCACCCTCCAGATCTGCCAAGCAGGTGCCTAGTGGCCAGTCTCCACTGTGTTCACCTGAGCTTGGCCGCTGGGCTTCAATCCCTAACGGCGCCCCGCTCCCTTAAGGCCCGATTCTGTGCACCGCTCCGCATCTCCCATGAGGTGCTGGGCGTCTGCAACTCCCGGGGACATCAGCAGATGCTGAGGGCCCCCAACGCCTCCTAGGATCAGGCCATTGATTGCTAATCAGAAGATGTTGTGCAATGAGATAACAGCGCTAGACGCTGACCTTGCATCTCACTCATGGCCTTGCCCCTCGCCCCGGCCCCTTGCACCATGCCGTAGTCACAAGGTTTCTTACTCATCTGGGCTTCGGGATCCCTCTGCCAGGGGGAAAATCCGCCTAGGCCTCCCGCTGCTGGAGGGGACGGCTGGGCCTCAGGCAGAGGGGATGCTTGTATATTTCCCACCTTGCTCCCTTCCCAGCATTCCCGGCCCCAGAGGCACAATCAGGATCGATTGCCAAGCCTACCATTCCCCTGTGACAGCCTGGAGCTGGGCTGGCCTGACAACTGGCTAAATACATCTCGGGCCTGGGCTTCTATGGCCCTTCTCTGACTTGCCCCACGTGACTGAGAGCAGGATCCGACCTTCGCCGTCCTAGCGCCAGACGGGAAGCACCGTAGCCACAGCCCAAAGCATCCACTTGCCCAGATTCAGAGGTTTCCGTGCATGGTTATTGGAAAAGCCTCTGAAACAGGCATTTTCCGCCCGAAGGGCAAACCGGCCCCATGCAATAACGCAGAGTGAACAGCTCCCACAATCTGCACTGAGAAAATCACCTTCCGGGCCACATCGCTCCTCCCATTGCCCACCGCACCAGCCGTCAATGTCCTCCGTAAGTCCAGGAGCTTCTCTGGCCCCCGTGGCTGCAGTAAACAGGCACCTGACAATCGTTCATTCTCCCAGCTCCCCTGGCAAATCTGTATCATTATCTCCACCTTACACAGGAGGAGCTACTCAGAGGGATGCCGTGACTTGACCACGGTCACCCCGGAAGTCTGTGGTAGCACCAGGATTTGAACCTTGATTCTCCGGAACCCAAGACCATAAACCCGGCCTTCCCCTCAACAGGCTCATCCCAGTCTGCACCTCGGACCTCATCTGCTACCATCTTTGTGCTCTGTTTATCCGCCAGCCTCAACACTCTGTTCATCTCCTTAGGATCATAGAAGCAATTCCTTCGAACAGTCAAGTTATAGAGCCCTCCCCAGAAGGGTTATAATAGAAACTGGCAACGTCTTCACCATTACAATGATTCGTAGAGTTTAAGGGCAGAATACACCTTTAGATCATCTGGTCTGACTTCCTGTATGTCACAGGCCGTAGATTTCACCGCTAGCCCTGTCCTGGGCCTGCTAACTAGCGAACCGCTAAAGTACAACTTCCGGAGAAGCAGCTAATCTTGATCCGAAGACATCAAGAAATGGAGAATCCGCCCTTCCCTTGGGAGCTCGGTCCGTTGGTCAACCACCTTTGCTGTTAAACATTTGTGCCATAATTCTCATTTGAATTTCTCTGGGCAATTTGTAGCTGTTGGATGACTATGTTTTACATTAACTGCAGCTGGGCGTTCGGGACCGCTTCACTCCAATCCAGGCCTCGCTGCTGTCATCCAGGCCTGCATCACTGCAGTGCGCTCTACATGGGAGTACTCTCAAAGTCTTCCCAGAGGCCTTACCTGGTGTGGATGGCTGCCTGTCTGGTGAGGTTAGCCGTAGGGCTCTTCGCCGAACAGCCAGCCATGGAACAGACCCATCAAAACTGGACTGGTCTATGAAGTTCAGGACGTGTGGCCTGTCCCCTCTGATTTCCAGTGTGCCCATCACCTTAGTATCTGGGCAACATGATAAGCTCAGCTGCTGCACTACTGGGGAGAACAACTCATGTGCTTGAAGAAGCTACAGGGGAGCTGCTCCGGCAGTGCTATCGCCCCATAGGCACCTGGCAGGCCAGAGCCAAGAGGCCTGACTGGGTTGTCACTGATGCTGGTGTAAATCTGGAGTGACTCCATTAAAGTCAATGTCCAGGTAGTCCAAGTGAGAGCCAGGTCAGACCTCAGGATGTTAGTTCCACCCATTCCATCACCTGGTCCCATATGGGAATTCTGCCCACTGAGGGAGGAAGAAGACAGAGCAGGATAATAACGAGGGAGGAAGACGACAGACCAGGATAATAACCTTCTACTCCTTAGAGGTTTACATCCATCGATCTCAAAGTGCTTAAGAAGGTAAGTACCATTATCCCCATTTCACAGGTGGAGAAACCAAAGCACCAAACCTTCTACTCCTTAGAGGGTTACATCCATCGATCTCAAAGTGCTTAAGAAGGTAAGTACCATTATCCCCATTTCACAGGTGGAGAAACCAAAGCACGGAGGTTAGGTGGCTTGGACCAATGTCACACAGCAAGTCAGGGCCAGAGCTGGGGGTAGGACCTAGGAATCCAGGTGTCCTGCCATGTGCCCTGGCCTCAGAAGGCCGGAAAGGCAGCTCATGTGTTTATGATACGGGATAAGATAAGGGCGCGAGTCCAAGGCAACATCTTCCAAATGCCCGGGGATTATTTCTGACACCCAGAAAATGTGATTAATGCTGATGCGTTGGTCTAGCAAAAGGGAAATCGTTCCTGAAAGTGGGTGAGAGTTCACAGAGAGATGGGGCGGGCTGGGACTTTGCACCGCCGGGCCCAGGGCCCACCCTGGCTTGGAGAACAACAAAAACATCTCGGTAATAGTTACCCAGCTCCCCTCAGCCATTACCGCTCCCCTCTAGCCGTCAATCAGCATAGAGCCCTTTGCCCCACTGTCCAATCAGAACCGGGGAGGGTTTTGCAATCCTTGAGGCTATTTCTGCTCCGTTGGAGTTTAAACTTTGCCACTGAGTGAAAGAAGCTTTGGGGAGAAGCAGAGAGAGAGAGAAGACTCATCCCAGCCACCAGTGCTTCCCGGGGTTCGCCGGGAACCCCCAGTCCACATCAGCAGAGGCTCTTGGAGTGGGACTTGGCTATAGACAGAGGTGAGTCCATGGGCTAATTCCTCCAGAAATCTGTCCTTTTGGTGTCTTTTCCTAGCTGCCCTGAGTTTGGCTATCAGTGCCACACAAACAACAGGACAAAGGTCGGGACAGGGGGACAGAAAAGTCCACTGGCCAAAGAGTGATTTAATAACAACCGATTGCTGTTAATAGCATATTAATTAGCAATTTCCCACCCAGACTCAAGCAGCTACCTTAGAAAGTCTGCCTTGGGTTGGGGTGTGGGTTTTTTTTTTCATTATATTTTTCAAACTTGCCATCAACCATTGGTATTTGGCATCTCCATTATAAGCATCGAGTCCAGATCCGGTCACTGAATATTCGTCTGATGCCTATAAAATGTGATTCATGCTGGTACCTGTTTGTTTCTTAGGGCCAGAATTTTCACAAGAAATGGGTCCTAGGTGGTATGATACAAATGAATCATCACCACTCCTCATTTGGGCTGCCAAATAAGTATCCAGATTTTCACAAGAGCTTTGTAGCACAACAGGGGCAGCTGGGGGTTAAGATTTGGAGTATCTGTACTGTAGTTAATTACCTAGACGGGAGCTGAGCTCTTTTGAAAATCTGGCCTCATAGCTACAGAGCGCGGCTGGCTGGGAACTGATTTGTTGGGTACCTGCAAAAGATTTCGATGAAAACAAAACAAGACTTTGTCAAGATTTGCGGCCCGAATTTTTCGCCAAACTGAAACATTTTGGCCAGCCAAACTCCAACCAAAAAACTGTTGGGTTTGGGGCCAAGCAAAATGATTCAGTGGCTGAAGAGGGAAACCTTTTCAGGTTTTTCAACAAAGGCCCCCCAATTTCTTCAAAATTGGCCCTTGCCCGAGGAAAAGCTGTTTGGCACCGAAAAAACGTTTGGAATGAAAAACATCATCGCCGTTACTCCAGAGCCCAAGGGTTGTGTTTGCAGAAATAATTAACGGGCCACAGTTTGCTTTAGCCTGGGGTAGACTGGGAGGAGCTCTGCAGTGCGCCTGATCCTCCTTGGCCTTGTGCTAGCCACCGATTTCCGATTCCTCACGGTGTACGACACAAGAGAGCCCCTCGGTGCTGGGTTTGCACCGGGGAAACGGGAGCCCAAGATAGGGGCAGATGTAAGAAATCAAACTCAGTTTTGCATCCACTGTGCCCTCCCCCAGGTCAGCCAGCTCCTGCCCCTGGAGGGGGAAGGACCCAAAGTCAAGTAGCTGTTTTCTGCCTCTCTGTGGAGAGCCTAAAAAAGAGAGCTGAGAGGCACTCAGAACTCAGAGGCCCCAGAACCCTGTGGAGGGCCACGCTATGGGGCAGGAGAAAATGGACAGCCATGAAATCACCCCGGCTCTGTAGCTGCGGAGTGAGTCCCAGGCAGGGGTCAGCTCAGAGGTTCCTGGTTGCCAGGAAACAATTAGTTGCTCATTATTTCAGGTGGGCACCAAGTGAGCCCATCACCCAGTCACCTCCCCTCTTAACCTGCCAAAGGCAGCCGCTAACACCTCCCACTCCCAGTCCTCGATCCGCCTCCATCGGCTCTATCCGCCTCAGGGGCCACCAGAAAGGGCTCTGCAGGCCGAGGACTATCCTACGGGCGCAAGCCAGGGCCTGGGATGTAGCAAGGATGCTCCAGGTTTCAGGTCCTCTTGCTTTGCCTCTCTGAGCCCAGCCAAGTTCTCACCTACGTGAGGCAGGAGGGGGGGGATATTTGGGTGCTTTGGACACTTCTCTCCAGCCAAGGGCCCTCTCCCCGTGGCTGGGACGGCCACCTCCACTACGTTGGCGGTGCGTCCTGACAACCGGCCTTTGGGGGTTTGCCAGCACCATTTCCTCATCTCCAGGGGCTCAGCAAGGTGGGGTTGGCACATGCAGGAGGGAGTCTGGCATCAGCCCATTTCCAGAGACCTGCTGTATGGAGGAGAATTGCTGATCTCCGGGGACCCAACGGGGTGAAGCCCTCGTGCTTGGAGCAGTTTGGAGGGACCTTTATTAGTCACCAGCTTGGCCCAGGAGCCTCCCTCCTGCATGTCAGAGATGGGGGGAGCGGGGAGGCTCAGAGCTATCAAAATGCCAACCCCTGCCCAACAGAGCGGTGCAAAACAATAGAACGGACCCTAGCCACTTAAGACTTATTGGGTGTCCCTGCTCTGCTCCCCACCGCCCCTGGGAACTCCAGCACAGCAACGGGGAGAGAACTCGGCTGTGCAACGACATTTCCTGTCTCTTAAACTAATGGAGAATCTCCCTTAGGTGCTGGCAGTATAGGGGCTATGAAACACAGGCTAGGTGTTTGGATTCCCTCCATTAGAGAGTATTGGTGCACACATATGCACGCAGGCACACAAAGACAAAGACACCGCCCCACACACTTCTTTGTGTCTACACCACAGCCAAGATTTTCAGCAGTGACTAGCAACTTTGGGTGCCCAACCTGAGACACTTTAAAGGGCCCGACAGTCGGAGGGGCAGGTGAAAAGCAGCCCCCTTTACGGTGACTTAAGTCAGCCCCCCAGGATCACTCATCCCCTTGGGAAATAGTGGCCTGTCTTTCCCTAAGCGCGGGCCTCGAGGGAGCCGCCCAGGGCCAGCCCCTGCCTATGCTACGCTGGGGAAACGCTGCAATGTTGTTCCCTTCCAGTTGGAGGTGCTGCTGGAGACAGCCAAGGCAGACGCAGAGAGTCAGACGGGGAGAAAAGTTGGAGGTTCAGAGTCCAGCAGTAAATGTGGCTCCAGTCAGGCTGAGCGGGGGCGGGGGCGGGGGGGAGATTCTAGGAAGAGGCAATAAACCCAGCCGTGAGGCCTGGTTAGGCTCCATGGCCAATGCTGAGGGAAGGGGAACGAACCTGAATGTTCCCCACTCCCCTTGGACTCCGTCCCCACTCCCAGGCCTGGGGGCAGAGCCGGCGGGGAAGAGGATCCCCATCCCAAGGCTGGGGGGGGACACGGCACATGCCAGGCAACGAGCTGAAGAAACAGAGAGAAGAGGAGCTGGTGGGGAGATGATTCCCCAGGGGAGGCAGGTGTCACGGAGTCCCCGGGCGATGCTCTGGAACTGCTCCCCACAAAGCCAGTCAGGACTTCGGAGAGCCTCCTCTCCCATGGAGCAGACTGTCTTCAGGGCAAGAAGTTCCCATGGCTTCACCTTCCTGGGACTGACCTTGGAGCATTCAGCATATGCCCGTCCGTGCGCTTCCCACAGCGAGTCCACCCAGGCCGGGTCCTGGGGAAGCCAGAGGGTCCTGCACCCCCACTTCGCCGTCAGACGTGACTCTCAGCCAGCCAGTAAAACAGAGGTTTATTAGATGACAGGAACACAGTCTAAAACAGAGCTTGTAGGTCCAGCGAACGGGACCCCTCGGCCGGGTCCATTATGGGGCCCAGCAAGCCAGACACCCACGTCTGCACTCACTCCCCGTCCCCAGCCAGCTCCAAACTGAAACCCCCTCCAGCCCCTCCTCCTCTGGGCTTTGTCCCTTTCCCGGGCCAGGAGGTCACCTGATCTCTTTGTTCACCTTTAGCCATCCCCTTGCAGGGGGGGGGAGGGCCCCGGCCATTTGTTGCCAGGAGACAGAGTGTCGGTGATTTATGCACACTGGCCCTTTGCTCTGCAACAATCTCACCCCCTAGAGACTTAAGAAATGCATAGGGGAAACTGAGGCACCCGCACACTATTCAGAGGAAACATTAAGAACAGTCCCACTTTGTCACAGCAGGGCAGGAGGGATTTGCTCTCCCATCCCAGTTCTCACTATATCCCTGAGCCCTCCCCAGCTCTGCACCCCAAGCTCCTCGCTGAGCCCCCACCTCTGCACCCCAAGCTCCCCACTGACCCCCCCGCTCTGCACCCTGGGCTCCCCACTGAGCCCCCCTCCCAGCTCTGCACCCCAGGCTCCCCGCTGAGCCCCCCGCAGGTCTCTGCACCCCAAGCTCTCCGCTGAGCCCATCCCCAGCTCTGCACCCGGGGTGCCCAGGGAGCTGGCCTGGCCTTACGGCACTGTCTCTTCCCCAGCAGACATGGCCTCCAGCTGCCAAATGGGCAGCATTGACAGCCTGGAGCTGCTGGACCTGCTCTTTGACCGACAGGACGGGATCCTCCGGAACGTGGAGTTCGGGGGCCACACGGCCGGCTGGCCCGGGCCAGAGCAGAGTGTGAGTTCCCCTCCCCCAGAGCCGGGGCCAGCGGGGGAGGCAGGGGCACACGAGGGAAACACCAGCCTGGTCTCCCAACCAGGCTTTCCCTAGGGACCCCTCTGCCTGGGAGGCCAACAAGTCACTGACTGATCCGCCCAGTGCAGAGCACTAGTGCCGGGGGTGGGGAGGGGGAGGCTGACCCCACCTCCTCCCCTGGGTGCACTGGGGTCCCCTCCCCTGGGTGCACAAGGATCCCCACCGTGCTACTCAGTGCACTGGGAGCCCCACCCCCTCCCCTGGGTTCACTGGGATCCCCACTCCATGCACTAGTGCCAGGAGCCCCTCCCCACCCCTGGGTGCATTGGGATCCCCACCCCATGCACTAGTGCCGGGAACCCCAGTCCCAGCCCCACCCCCGCCCCCGGCTGGCTCACGCTCTGGCAGGGCGTGTCCATGGGCAGGCCAATGCCCGGCTCCATCCATGCCCTGCTTCCCCCTCCCGTGGGTGACTCGTCTTCTGGTCTCATTTCCGTCTCTTCTCCAGCAGCTGCCCGGTGCCCAGGAGAACGAGGATTTCCTCAGCTCCATCCTGGGCTCGGGGGACTCCAGCTCTGACTCCCCGATCTGGTCCCCTGCAGCCAGCGACAGCGGCATCTCTGAGGACCCGAACTCGGACCAGCTCGACAGCCCCCAGCACTACGTGCCCACAGGCAGCCCGGGGGGCTACTCGGATGGGGGGCCCGGTGAGCCAGCGTACCCCTACCAGGAGTCCTCCCAGGCCCAGCCCGCTCCCAGCCTGCCTGGGGCTGACCTGCGGGAGGCCGAAGTCTCCATAGACCTCGGTGAGTTCAGGTGTGGAGCTGGAGTGGGGGGAAAGAGGAGCCTCATTGGGGAGCCCAGGATGAAGGGAGCTGGGGGGCTCAGCGGGGAGCCTGGGGTGCAGTGCTGGGGGGGTCAGCAGGGAGCTCGGGTGATGGGAGCTGGGGGGTCAG